AGACAAACTTTCGGTCGACTAGACCATCTAATTTTTGGGTTTACGATTGTTCTAGACACGGTAAAACGTTGCCGATTCTTATCAAACCTCTCAAAATATCGAGAACTTTGGTGAACACCAAAAGGGGAACCGAGTTATCTGGTTTTGCGAAAAAACAACTCTGATCACCAACCATAAAATATAGTTCGATTCGAAAGTCGGGGAACCGGCTCGGTTCTTTGATTTTTGAGCTCAAGGGACAAATGCATAATTTTAGAATTCGAGCGTATCAAAAGCTCTCAAAAAGACCAGTTTTAGGTTCTATAATTTGTGAATTCGGTTCTTGCGCGTTATCGGGGGGGGGGGGGGGGGGGGTCCGATTTTTATCATAAGCCCAAAAATGCCTAGTACTGTAATAAATTTTTTTGCTAACGTTTTTATTAACATTTTACCATACTCCAAGGGACAAACATTAAAAAAACTTGAAAAATATTTTTCGGGCGTTTTAGCTCAAAATCTCGAATTACGAAAGAATCTGATTGCTGACCCGTTCTACCGTATGTGCCGTAGCTCTACGGATTTTACTGCCGCACCACCACAAAAAAACACTAAGAAATCGACGCCAATTTTCCACTATGTACATAGCCCAGACTCGTACTCGACCTTCCTGATAAGTCGATAGATCAAGTACCGCTATCGCCCGGTTAGAAGCATTTGGCCAGCCACAAAAACCCGTAAAAAACACGACGGCTAGCCGGGGCTTCGGGGAAAAACGTGGCCCCATTCGGGGGGTCGGTCGTAAAATTCTGAGGGTGGAGGGCAAAAAAAACGATAAGCTTTTGTGGAGTTCTGACCCCCGGGAAAGCGCAAAAAAGGGGCCAGGGACCTGCCAAAAATTATTTTTTAAGCACAACTTTCTTGACTTTACGGTAGATATCATACCTGCAAAAGTACGCTAGAATACGGTAGAGTACGCTAAAGTACGGTAGAGTACAGAAGAATAGACCAGAATACGATATGGTAAAAGGCGTCTAAAGCTCTAAAAAATAAAAAATTAGATTTCGCCTAAATTTTAAGAAGTAAGGACTTTAAATATTGAAAATTTGGTTTTTATTTTGTTTTTCAGTTGAATGATTTTTTTATATATGAAAGTGTCGGCGAGACTTTAATTTAAATCAAAGAATTTTTAAGAATTTAATTGATTTAGGCTTCAAAAATCTCAAATTTTCTTATTTACATACGATTTTAGCGTACCTTCGTGCTGCTCGTGGCCCTCGTGGCGGCCGTGAACGCCTTCACCGGTCTGCCCGCCACCTACACCAACAAGCAGAAGAACGACGCATGCAAGGTGGGCAGGTTAAGGGCCAAGAAACGCCGGAATCGACCCCATTTGTCGACTAGATCTAGACAACCGCGCGCAGTTACATTACATACTGCTTCAGGCACCTTCTTCCGAAATATAGAATTTTGGCAAATTTTTATATTTTTTCTATTTTATTTAATTCTGTTAATTTTAATATATTTTTGTAATTTTATATTTTATGTTATATTTTAGCAAATATAGCGAAAATTCTTTTTTTTTCAGGACTACTGCATGAACGCCGGGGACCCGTCTCCCCTGACCGGCTTCGCGTTCGCCAGCAACGGCTGGGAGTTGTGCAACTGCCAGGTAGCCCAGCAGAGTGGAAGGTAGACGGAAGCCAGAAAATCCGTTCTCAAAACACGATTTGCAGCTGGCTCGGCTCGAACTGCTACAACCAGTGCCACACCCGGTGCGTCAACACCCTCGGCCAGTGCGCGTGGAACCAGGCGCTGAACACCGACTACAAGGGGTACGTATGGAAAAGATCATCGCCTTCAGAACCTTTAAGCATCGAATCCCCTCCTTTTCAGCCCGTGCTGCTCCACCTCCCAGACGAACACGACGGTGTTCAACCAGTGCTACAAGAACACCGCCCCAGTCGGCCTCTGCTACAGCACTTAATTGCGATATTCTGGTCGCAATCAGCTTTCTGGAACTCCAGAAATTTTGAATAAAGCATGAAAACACAAAGCTTACCACAACAACTTCAAGAATACGCATTGCCGTGAGAGGTCGAGAGAGAGAGAGAGAGAGAGAGAGAGAGAGAGAGAGAGAGAGAGAAAGAGAGAAAGAGAGGAAGAGAGATAGAGAGAGACAGAGCTAGAGAGCCAGAGAGATAGAGATACAGAGCGTGAACGAGAGCGGCAGAGAGCGAGAGACAGAGAGAGAGAGCGATAGATATAGAGAGAGACAGAGCGAGAGAGAGGAGCGTCGGAGAGAGCGAGAGCGAGATAGAGATAGAGAGAGTGAACGAGAGCGGCCGAAAGAGCCAGAGACAGAGAGAGAGAGAGAGAGAGAGAGAGAGAGAGACAGAGACAGAGAGAGGAGAAGAGAGAGAGAGAGAGAGAGAGAGAGCGTATTCGGTGGTGTGCTTTGCACGCCTAACTGATAGCTCTCGTATGCTGCCATACAGTATCACAACTCGCAACAATTCCAGATTCTTTGCAAAGTCACGTCTTCTTAATGTCAGCGCCAAAATACCCCAATAACCGAAAAAATGGCTTCAACGCATTTTCGTGAAGCGCGCGCCCGGAATGGCCATAAAACTGAGTCACCAAGCACTGAAGAACGCGATAAGCCGGCTTTGGCCCGGCAAAAAACCAGCATTTTCCCAATAGGGACCGAAAAATTATTCAAAAATTGCAGATAGAGAGAGAGAGAGAGAGATAGGGATGGTGAGATAGAGGCAATGAGAGAGAGCGAGGGAGAGCGAAAGAGAGAAAAAGACAGTAAGATAGTACAAAAGTGATCTCTCACCCGAAAACCACCGGACCCGATCTTCGATCCTTCATTAACCCCCTTCGTGACAATTCTAGATTTTCCGAATCCACTTCCGCTAAAAACTTATACTTAACCGGTGCTTTGTTCAGCACGAGCAAAATGGTCAGCTAGAAAAAAGACGGAATTTTAGCAAAAAACCCTGCTAAATCGCCTCCAGGGACCCCGGAAAGGTGGTGTTGGTCTTTGAAATCGTTAGCTTTTTCTGGACTACAGCACCTATCTAATTTTCCCTTCGCAAAACGTCGAGTCACTAAATTCTAGGCATCGAATTAGACCGGGAACGCCCCTAAATTCAACAAGCGGATTGCAGGAAGTCGGTCCAAATTGGGGGCTTGCGAGGGCACCAATTAGGTGATGAATCGGCCAGATGATGATTGGCGAACGGTCGAAAATACTTAATTTTGGGCGGTGCTTATTGGACACTACAAAGCGTTGCAAATAGCAATTACGCTTCCACGTGTTTTGACGAGGAAATTGCTTTGGACTTTTGTTAAGCGATCGGATGTTTCGATTGCCGAAAGAGCCCTTGCTGCATTTCGACGGTTTCTGGAAGCAGCTCTTCTAGCTCGCTTCATCCTTTTGTATCCACCTTTTGAAGGACGGATCGCACTGGCTTTAAGCTTCCCAACACATTTCTGACAGACGTTTTGCTTCTCAAAGAATTGATGTAACTCACCGTTTTGTTCCGAAACCTCCATTCCGAAGGAATTTTGGGTCGAGGTTATGGCTTTGGGATGTTGTCGATATTTTGGCTATCGGAGCTTAGCTGTCGGCGTTTTGATGGTTCGGATTTTGGCCGTCAAGATTCTTAGTGTCGGGATTTTGGCCATCAAGATTCTTAGTGTCGGGATTTTGGCGGTCGGTATTATCGACGTTTTTCTCGTTTTTCTCGAGTTCATCGATCCCTGATCACAAGATTTTCTAAATCATTTAGCCCATCGAACCGAGGAAAACAGCTTGAATATGTCGACATTTTCGCTGTCGGGGTCTTTTGGATTCTGATTGTCGGGATTTAAACATCTGCTTTTTTGCGTTGCTTGGCAATCTAGCAAAGATTCTTCTGGAACGCTTGATCCTCCTTTCCTCGATTCTTGATCTCCCACATTTTTCGAATTCGTCTAGACCATCGAAACTAAGCAAACAGCGTGAATAGTAGTCTAGCGTAGTATTGCGGATCAGACAGCCAACCGCCTCAAATCGCATTCAGACGCATTCTTCAATCGCTTTTTGGGCGAAATCCCCTTCCACGCCGATGAGCCAACGTGTTTGCGGCAAAATTCTTTATATCCCGCAATTGTATAGGGCAAGTTTTGGAAATTTCAAGTTCCGCCGGATTAGCCCCGTTGGTTTATTCGGTTCAGGGCGTTCCGTCAAAAGGAGTGCCGCGAAATTGGGCCGAAATCGGGGCATTTTTGAAGTTTTTGAGGGGGGCTGACACATCGTAGTCTACCGGAATCTGAGGGATACTTATAGCGGATGGATGGTGGATACGATTCACATTTTGCTTCTGGCTTGCTGCATTTTCAAATAGGGGCATTTCTAATTTCCACTTTTGGCTATTTAATAAGGCAAATACCGTGGGCTGCTTTAGAATACCGTAGAATTAGAAAAAATCGGAAAAATCGCACGTCATTCCGCTACGGTAGCCTTCCAATCTAATCATAGAATTTTGATAGGAAACACTTGAATCTCGACAGCTTAAATCATTCCGAAATCTCGAAGTCACCCCGAAAACTTCAAAACCGACAAGCGACGCACAAAAAAAAAATCCCGACAGCTAGAATACCTACCTCAAAATGCCGACAGCCGAAAAAGCGCTAGCCGACATGCCAAAGTACCTAATAATGGCTTACTATCCTTTGCGTCGAGATTTTTACCGTCCGGTTTTTGGCTTGTCGGGATTTTGCGATGTCAGGATTTAGGCTGGGAGATCTTGGCCTGACTGTAGCTTTCGGGATTTTGGTTGTCGGGATTTTTTGTCCAGAATTTGGCGTTCGGGACTTTAGCTGTCGGTATTTTTACTTCTCCGGATTTTCGCTGTCGGGATTTTGGCTTCCGGGTTTTGGTTGACGGTATTACACTATGTGAAAATTATTCCCCTCTCGGCTTACCATAATACGACCGACCTACCGTGTCCCTTCCAGGTCGACCATCAAGAATGGATACAGAACCCTACGTTGACCACAACCCACAGATAGCCGGAGTGATCGTGTTTGTGGTAAGTGAGAGAGGGATTGAGAGAGAGAGGGAGAGAGCGAGAGAGAGAGCGAGAGAGATCTTAACGTCATACTTCGTTTAGACCTCATTCCTCGGCATCATCGCCAACGGGATCGTCGTCTTCTGGGTGTGCAGTCTGCCCTCCATGCAGGTAATTAAAATTGGAGTGACGCTTAATTAACTTCTTTTACGGCATTTGTTCAGAGAATAGTATATCTTTAAATCATTCTGTTTCAGACGAGTTTTGGGCGTATGACGCGCAGTCAGGCCACCGCCGACTTCCTCCACGATTGGTCCTTCTTTCTGTATATGGCTCCAATGTTAACTTTGTAAGTTAGTGGCGTAACTACGGAGCAAAACGGCATTGAAATAGATCGAAAAATCGAGTTTCACATTGATAAAGTAAAACGCGGTGTCTTACGGTGGAGCAACCTGGAGGAATTACGGTAAAAGACTTTTGTAAATACAGCAGAAAAACTCATTAAAAAAAAGAAAAAACCTAGAATTACTGTAGAAGAGTGTGCGGTGGCTCTGGGTAGGGATACGGTAGCGCATAGATTGCGCGATTACGGTATAAAACCTGATGTGTCAGTATTCCAAAAAAAGTGGAAAATTGGCATATCGGGCCAAAACATCGACGGAAAACTTTTTACAGTAACCTAAAATCCTGGAACAGCCACGACATTTCGAGCATCTGCGGGCACTTGTTGCTGATCTTCTACGACGCCTGCAACGCGTGGTACCGTATTTCATTGCCATTTTTTGCCTGGAATTTTGCTAAGCTAATTAATTTTTCTGTGTGTGTATAATGCGACTTTTTATTGTTCATTAAGTCCTTATTTATTCGATTAAACTATCTTTTACTTTTTTTCCCTTTACAGCCACTTCTTCATGGCCCTGAACCGGACGTGCGCGATTTTCTTCCCGATCCAGTACCCCCATATCTTCTCGCATCGAAATGTGACGATCATGAACACGTTCTGCTGGCTGTCGGCCATTGTGCCGAGTATTTGGACTTACCGTATTGGTAAGTCATTTTACGGATTAAAGGGACTGGCAAGGCACGGCCATGGATTTTTTTATTATGGATTTCCCACGAATTTTGCGTCGTTTTTAAGCAAGAGACTCTATAGTCATGCCTTTCCCGTTCCTTTAAAATACCGTAACCTAAAAATCTAATTTTGCTCATAAAAAGCACAACCTTACCTCAATATTGCGGTGCCCGGTGGCGTGGTGGGGGGACGGGTCAAAAACCCTTTCCATCTCCCACCGGCAGCGGTCTCGTGGTGTAGTGGTTATCACATCTGTCTAACACACAGAAGGTCGGCGGTTCGATCCCGCCCGAGATCATTTTGCTTTTGCTTTTTGGGAAATTGGTCGGAAGTGGGTTTCTGAGCACTGGAATTCGCTTCCTTTTTCTTGTTTCGCACGGATCGATCATGTTATAGCTGAAAATTGAAAACTTTAGCTACTTTTACCTAGATTTACATAATCGAAAAGTTTTTACCTTTTTTACCTTCAACTTTTGCTTTCGGCAGCTTGGAATTACTCAAATTTTCCAGTTTCGCCGCATAAAATTTTTATATATATTTTTTTTAGCGGACTGCCGTTTCTACTACCTCGACGCAATCTGGGGATACACGTTTGACGACAATCCGTTGTGCGGGAAGATTGGATGGTGAGTAGGGGGTTCGGGGAGGGAGCGAAAAAATACCGACATTGAAAGCCCTGACAGCCAAAATACCGACGCCGGGGCTAGCTAGATCATTACAATAAAAGTCTCAAAATCGCAGAAGATCGACAGCCACAAATGTCGACCAGAAAGCATCCCGACGGTTAGAATCCTGACATAGCAGAATCCTACGTCCTGTCGGGATTTCGGCATACTTGGATTTTGCCTTGTCGGTATTTTACTACTTACTACTTGTGGGGATGTTGCTTGCCGCTATTTTAAATGTCAAGATCGCAATTTATGAGCTATTCATATCCCTATAAAATCCACATAACCTTATTTTTGCAGGTACTACGACTTTATCAAGAGCGTGACGACAATCTTGATCATCGGCGTGCTGGATCTGGTGACGTTTATCAAGTGTCGAATTCATGGGGCTCAGGTAACTGCAAATAGGAATATGCCGGAACATAGCGTTTTCAGCTCGTCGCCAAGATCACCGACGCTCAAGCTAGGGCCAAGCGACGCAGCGAAATTCACTACGCGACGCAGGTATTGTTAATGATAATTTCGAATTCATAAATTGAGCAAATTCGCTCCGATTTGCTGCCATGATGTCGAAATTTCACAATGTCGAAATTCATAAAACTGCAAAAACTCGAAACATCAATACGACATATTTTTTGGCATATCATTTGGGGTTTTCCTGGATCTTTATTTTTGCAGTTTCGACATTAGGGAATTTCAGAATTCTGAAATCTCGAGATTATTGCGTTTCGACACTGTTAAATTTCAGGTGTGTCTGCAAGGGTGTATCTTCATCCTCGAGTTGTTCTCCTTTTTCTTATTCGTGAATTATGTCGATTCGAAGATGGCGAAATTCGCGCTGACGACAATTGCCTGGATATCGGTGCATGCACTTGATGGGTAAGTGTGAGAGAACCAGAGAGAGGGAGAGTGAGAGCGAGAGAGTGAGAGAGGGAGAGGGAAACGAGGGCGAGAGAGTGAGAGTGAGAGTGAGAGATTGAGAGCGAGAGCGAGAGCGAGAGCCAGAGAGTGAGAGAGAGCTAGAGGGAGAGCTAGAGAGAGAGAGAGAGAGAGAGAGAGAGAGAGAGAGAAAGAGAGTTAGAGGGAGACAGAGAGAGAGAACGAGAGAGACCTAGAGAGAGACCGAGAGGAGGGGAGAGAGAGAGAGAGACAGCTATTAATTTCAGGATGATCACCATCTACTTCAACAAGGAGTTCCGTGCGATCATCCGCCGGAAGCGAGGTGAATTCGAAAAGTTGTGCTAATAAACTTATATTTTCAGATATCAGCGCCACGCACTCGGTCGGACAAAAGGCCACCCACAGCAGCTCGCAGAATTGAGCTTATTTTATGCACTGATTTTTTTGTTTTTGGCCATGCTAATTTTTGATTTGAAGTTCTTGGAAATAAATTTATTCGTTGGTTAATGCATTTTCCGATGTACAAGAAATTCAGATAGCTCCACAAATTTTAGCTGCCCGATTTCTTTTAAACAATACTTTCGCATTATCGGGGGGGCGACCGCGCTATGGACTTTGGCTTCTCGGGCCCGTTAAAACCTGGTCAACCCCAGCCGGACGCTCATTTATGACAAGCTGTCGCTTTTTGTGCCCCCAGTCCCTCAGTTGGCACCATCGGCCGGCCGTGTTTCCATCAATTTCCGGGTTAGAAAAGTGAGAGAGAGAGAGAGCGAGAGAAAGAGAGAGAGAGAGAGAGAGAGAGAGAGATAGAGAGAAAAAGAAAGAGTGAACAAGGACTGGACAAGGACCATCCGGTGGCCCCGTTTCTTTGGTTCTCAATACGTGAATTCCCTAGGGAGTCTGGTCGGTTGACCCGCGAGGGTCACTCTCCCTTTTGAGACCTTGCAATGTCCAGTACGTCTATTTCCAACTGACGCAAGTTGTAAGTTAGCCGAGATTCTTGGGGATTTGAGGATTTAGCAAATTTTGGGGCTGTTTTTCCACATTTTTCCATATTTCTAGGTTCATTTGTCTCCTTAATGCTTCTACAGCCGGTGCTAATTTTTAAGGTAGAGTCTTGACTTGCCAACACCTTTAAACCCAATTTTCCCTAAGGATTTCTGCTGCTGACCACATCCCCACTAAATCAACGACAATTAATTTGTTTGTGTCAGCACCTCCTTGTCAGTCTCCCCGTCTCTCGCTCTCTCTCTCGCTCTCTCTCTCTCTCTCTCTCTCTTTCTCTCTCTCGCTCTCTCTCTCTTCACTATGTGAGATCGGTCGATCAAATGTGTAAGATTTGCCGCTGCAAAACAGCCGTCCCCTAGCTAGAGTAGCGATGGATGGACAAAGCTTTTCCACGTTCCCCCGGACAAATGGCTTTTGTTTGTTTGGATTTTCACGTAAAGTTTCTGCAATTTTTGAATATTTGATACTGATAATACGAGAGAGCGAGAGAAAGAGAGAGCGAGAGAGAGAAAGCGAGATAGTGGGCGAACGAGAGTGAGATAGAAAGTGAGAGAGAGAGCGCGTGAGAGAGCACGTGAGGCCGTAGTACTCCCGTTAAAAACCACTTAATTTTGTAGAAGTTTCGCAAGAACACATTTCGCAAAAATTCAGCTCCTACTCGTTGTAGCAATTACTCAGCTTCTCCTCCCTCACCTGGTAAACCCAAAATATTTTCCCAGCCACCCTTCTGGGCGCCGGAAACGCGGCCGGACCACCAAGTTTTCACATTTTTTTTGCCGCCGACCCGGAAAGCGAAACCTTTGCATAACGGATCAGCGGCTTGTTTTGCTGGCCCGACATCTTTAAAAACAGGTGCACCCTGGGCTTGGCTCGAAATTTGGGTCCTATGGCATTATCGAGGGGAGCCGCGATTTTCGTATAATTCAATTTTTATAATCCAAAGCCTGTGCAAATTTAATTGTTTCAAATTTTTAGCTATTTATAAACGTAAACGCGATCAATTTTTTCAAAAATCCAAAGACACCGAGTTTGCAATCAAAATCACAAATAAATTTTTATAATTTTGGTCGCTTTTTTCGATAATTTTGCTTAAAACATAATTAAGCTTTGTAGATATTTAAAATACTTTTTATTACGTTAATACGCACTTATGAGGTTCTAGAAAACATTTTTCCCTCACCCCGATAATCCGAAATTTCCGAAATTTGTTGCCGAACGGAATGAAAGCATTTTCCAAGCCGTTCGAGTCAGCAAAAGCTGACAGGGCTACGCACAGCTACCCCCCGTAAAGATAAGCCTCCTTTGCTTTTGCCGAAAATGAGTCATTCCACAGGCTTTCGACATTTTTTTGGCGTGTAGAGCGGCCGTTCCGATATTCATTTCTTATTTGGTGTCATGCCGCTACCATAGAAACCGCGCCCGATAAATTTGATATTGTTGACACTCGTCGGCTTTTTACGGAAATTTTATGGGTGTTTGAAGGATTTTGGTAAAAATTTTCGTTTCTAGGCTGTTCTTCGATTTCGAATAATCTTTTTAACGCAGCACGAAAGCCCTAACATTTTTTAGAAATACCAATCGGTACCCTAAGAAGACCACTGGTATATTTTTTGACGCTCTATCAATTAGCGTTAAATCATAATTTTAGCAATGGCAGAATTGTCGATTAAACCTGATTAACTTGATTTTAAACTGAAAATTTATAAAAATTTTGACATTTTACTTTTGCTAGAACTGTTTTAGGATATTTTCCCATTTTTTCCGGTTATCGAATTGCTCTAAAATCAGCAAAGTTCTGAGCCTGAAACAGCCCTGGTACGCATCCCGCCCCCCCGTTACCACACTTATACCAAACTGCTCAAAGCGGTAGGTGATCATTTTTCTGTGTTACTTTGCTGCATCTCAAAGTTCAGGCTCATTCTCCCAATCCTTATTCGTTCTTTTTCTACGTTTTTGGCATCCATTCACGGCCGGGCCAAGGTCAAATCCGATTCATCTCTTTTTGCGGCCCCACCGCCGGCCCGCTTTTTGCTCCACCCCCCACGTTTTTGCCCCTTTTTGGGGACAGTTTTTTGGGTGTGTGGGCTGCAAAGCATTCTATCGGCACGCCTGCTCCCTTTGCGGCAGAAAGGGTGAGAGAGAGAGAGAGAGAGAGAGAGAGAGAGAGAGAGAGAGCGAGCGAGAGAGTGAGAGAGAGCGAGAGCGAGCGAGAAATGATCGACACCCCTGGACGGATTAGTGGACAGGACGGCAGGGTCGGATTCGGTTTTGCTATTTTGTGTCCATTCCCAGGGCCCGCAAAGCCACAACGGCCCGATACTATGGACATTGCAGAATTTTTTTTATTGTTTTCTTTGTAGCTCTTATTTAGTTTTGCGGAAACTGTCAACTTGGTAGCTGGCAGAGATTTTTAGGGCTTTTTGGGGCAAACTAGCAGATATTCTTGAGGATTTTTCCAATAGGTTAGTCGACAGTGTTTTGTCGCATTAAGCAACATTCCTTTTTGTGGTTTTTACGTGTTTTTTAATTATTATAGGTCTGATATTTTGAAGCACTGGTGCGTTAGGGGGGGGCTAGGTGTTTTGTAGGAGAGAAAAAGAAAGAAAGAGAGAGATTCTTCGCCTTTTAGACTTTAAGACCTCGGCAGGTGTCTGCTGTCTAGGTCTGGCTTGCCATTATCTTTAAAATCGACATTTCCGGGTGAAGCAGGCTAGCAGTCACTCCTGCGGAGATTGAGATATTTTTTCCGGTGTTGTCCATTTCTTATTTTTTTTAAGCTTTTCGATTCTTCCTTCTTCTGAAAATCCTTTCGTCGCTATTCTTAGCGTCAATTGTCGCTATTCGTAGCCGTCAGAAGCCCGTCGTAGGCCTTTCGGAAAACGCCGTTCTTTATCCCATTTTTGGGCCTTGGCCCCCGGCGGCGCGTTCGATTCGGAGTTAATTACCCCAATTTTCGGCTGCCCTCCCCCTCGCATCGGCTACCAAAACCCTCGGCCTCCCCCCTCAAAACTTCCATCCAACCCCCTTCCCCCTTCATTCCATTGATTCCGCCCTACAACTATGGACAACAACCCCGGCACGCAACGTTCCTACTGACGTTTTATCTTATTCTCATCTTCATGTTGTTTTTAGGGTTATACAGCTGGATTTTCAAATTATTTTTTGGATGCTACTGTGTACTAAAATAGAAATCATTTTCTAGAAACATTTTGAGACAACAATAGATAGATTACTGGGTACTGTACTATTAGCGGATGAGGCAGTTTTTATTTTTCTGCCTTTATTTGCCTATTAGGAATGGCGTATATTGCATTTTAGTAATTTTCTTAGGCATTTTAAACCATAAAACAATTAAATTACTGTTTTTAAAAAATATTCCGCAGCTGAAGTTTATTGTCATCCTTCTTATTTTCAAAATAGTTTATTACATGCTTTTTATCGTTAAAAATCGAGTAATGAAACCAAAATAATAATAATTCCTGGACAAAATTGGCACCACCCAGCCTTAAAATCATCTCCGCCTCGCTGACAGTCCAGTACCTAGTAATTTTCCAAGTACAAATGTACTTTTTCCAAAGCTACTCCAGCCATCATCGTCAGACACTTGCTTGAAAATCTCTTGAAAATCTCTTGAGGCGGAACCGCATGAATAATTTGTTGGGGGTGCCCCTCGAGTGGGGGGGGGGGGGCTTTGCGTTCAAGAAAAACTCTCTAGTGCCCTCGGAATTACTTCAAAGCCCCGAACATTGTACGTATTCTCAGCGCGCGAGTGCTGCTCTTTTTGTGCCGATGTTAATTCCTTCAAGGAAATCTAGCCAAAATCCCGACAAGCCAAAATCTCGAGAAGCCAGAATCCCGGCAGTCATAATCCCGACATCCCAAAACCCGACGGTCAAAAATCCCGGACCAAAATGCCGATCTCCTAAATCCCGAAAGACATAATCCCGACAACCAAAATCCCGACAGCCAGAATCCCGACAGCCAAAGTCCCGATAAGCAAAATCGCGATAGTCAAAATCCCGACATCCAAAATCCCGACAACCAGAATCCCGACAGCTTTAGTAGTTTGAATGAGCTTGGCTTTTCAACAGCTATTTCGCTTGTCGGTTTTTTGGGCTGTCGGTATTTTTGCTGTCGGGGTTTTGGCGCTTTTTCACGTCAAAGGGCCTAGGAAGCCGAAAAATCAAGCGTTTGACGCTTTCACCAAGAGGTCATCTGAATTCGTCTTCTGTCTAGTGTTCGATAGGCGTGACGCATATCTGTCGAGACCTAGTCGCGGGTGGGGTGGATTTCCAGGACTTCCTCGTCCCTTCAAGGCAACTGCTCCGACATTTTTCTGTATGTTTTTCATGTTCATAATCATGCATCCATTGCTGCTACGCTCCGTTTAACAAAAAGCCCTCCCCTGCC